GGGGGGGGTATACAGCATCATTTGTAAGGTCAGCCCCAGACAGCGCTGGCAGAAATGATGCTGTTTGAGTCATGACATGTCAGCGCCACCCGCCTCAGCGATCAGTCCAGGAAATGGAATAGCTTTTTTTTCTGCTTTTACTATCCCACTCTCGCCTTTCGAGGCCCTGGGACAAACAGACAAACACAAAACAATCTGGGAGCGGTCAACAGAGACCTTGGAGACGGCTGACAGGCGGACGGTAAACAAGACGGAGAGATTCATGATGTGTCAGCAGAGAAATTCATGGGCGGATTATGGCAGGACGAGCGTCTGATGATGGCCAAATGATGGTTGCTGTCAAAAAGATCATCAGGGAACATGTGGAGATTATGACGTGCAATAATTATACTGAAAGTGTCATAATCTGACATTATTTCCATTATTGTTATTATTTTACACACGTTTTAATTCAATAACCCCCCAAAACCACTCCAATGTTTTCCATACAGGCTATGATGTCATTGATTAACGCAGAATATGCAAGTCAGCATCCTGCAGTTTCTAATTGCTGGGGATCCAAACTACATTTCTTACATACAATGTGGGGTACTCAACATTTCCAGGTTCACATTAGGACTCTAGAATCTGGCCAATAGGCTGGTTTGTTTCCTTGTTCCTTATCTTGAATGTTAGTCCTTGTTTTTGTTGCAAACAAAGCTTCTCTGATGCAAGAGGCAAATGTTTTCCAAATGTTATGCCCCTGATAAAAGGGGAGAATTATAACAAGTCAAAGTTAGGTTTCACTTTACTCGAGTGAGTCAACAAATGCAACACCTTTCAATAGCACACATACAACATTTTTTTTGTAAGAGTACATACCCCTGTCTATGAACATTCTAATTCAATCACGAGACTCCTTAATTTCCACAATATCATTGACAAGATGGCAAAAACCTCACAGAATTATTCAACCAAAATATAAAGACAACAAATTATACAATTTCCGCGGCAGTTTTCTCTCCGTATTCTGTCCACTCGCCCTCTTCCTTCCCTGCTGGTGTTTCATGGCCTCCTGTGAGTGTTGGTGTGAGGCAGGAGCTTCCTAACAGGTGTTTTGGGTGCTTATCGCCCTCTGCTTATCTCTGGCCCTCAGCTTCCTGCCTCCTCTCTCCTGCAGGCCTCAGAGAGGGGATATATTTCACTTAGCCTCTGACCCCAATCCTTCCCCTTCTCCCTTCCTCCCCACCAGAAGACGTTTCATCACCGTCACGTGACCTGACTTTACTTCTTCTCCACGGCTTTTTTAAATCACTCGTAGCCATCAAGGGATGCTCAGATGGAAGATTATTGAAGATAGGGCTACAACTAGGGATGTCCCGATCACCTTTTTTTGCTCCCGATCCGATTCCGATCATTTGATTTTGACAATTTGCCGATACCGATTTTTCCCGATCCGATCTTTATGCAATGCATTAAGAAGAAAAAAAGCATTCAAGTTGTCCCTTAAGGTTATTTTTTTATTTAAATTTGATATTCTATCCAACATGGATATAGCTTCTTTCTTTCACAGCAGCATTGGATCAGTTCAGTTGTGCAGCATTGGATCAAAACAAAAATAAAGCTTATCAGTACTCGTTAGCTTACTGCTACAATTAGACACTGCGCCCACTCTGTTGCCAGATTTGAGAGAAATAAGCAACCAGGTCTATGAAAACAAGCCCCAAAGAAGCAACACATACATGATGTTGTGTAATTTGAAACCAAAACTAAGGCCTCAGGATGACTTTAAGACTTGAACATGGTCATTTTTGTTTTGTAACATTGAATACAAAATAAAAACTTTTTTTTTTTTTTAAATCCCGATCCCCGATTTTTTTTCTCCCGATTCCGATCTTTTGAAAATCACGTGATCGGCTCCGATCCCCGATCACGTGATCGGATCGGGACATCTCTATAAATAACTCTTCCTGGATTGGATCAGCAGAAATTGATCATTATTGGGCATTTCAAACAATTAGACCGTCTTTAACTACAGTAGAATCCATTTTGCCTTGTTAACATTATTACATTAGATTTATTTAATTAATCCCACATTGTGGAAACTGTTGCAGCTGTGACAAAACAATTTCCCAAATTTGGGAAGAATATCTAATCTAGTCTAAATGACCTTAATCTCACTAATTAGTACTTTTAGAGATGGGCTTTCTGATTTACACCCCGGCTCCACATTTCTTTCACTCACATACATACTACATACTACACAGACATATCAATCCTCTTGTCTTACACTTGAAAGTCCCCAAAATATTGAAGCGTGTAATGATTTTCACAAGACATGTTCTCATATGGACATCAAACAGATGTGGCTGATCCATTGGGGTTTATTTTTAGAGCTAGTTTAGGTGAGCAATAAAGTATTAGTGTGCATCAGGAGGATTTGTTACCACACCCATCACGTCATTTTGAGTTGCAAACAGAGAAAATAGGAACTATTTAATGTGAGCAATGTCCTAAACTGTTAGACAGGCCACACATATTAGTCATACAGTTGAAAAGAAGAAATAAAATGTTATGGCTTCTGTGACTCAACGCTAAATGTCAAAGTATTAACATTAAGCACCGCAGAGAACTCATCAGGTCTGTAGTCACTAATCTCAACAAAACAAAGCACTTAATCTGATCAATTTATGATTTTTGGTTGGCCTTTTAGACTATTTATTTCCAAATAAACTAAGATAAGTATTGCGAGAAAAGTAGTTTGAGCAGAGGGAATAACAGAAGGGAAGAATGAAAGAGATATTGTTAAAAAAAAAAAAAAAAATGAGGAGGGGAAAGACCAGAAACAAGTAGGAAACCTCCGGTAAATGTCAGGAGAGCAAACGTGTGACGTCAGTCGGGAAGGTGACACCTCAGAAACCAATGAAAGTTTCCACTACACACACACACACGTACACACACACTACTGTTTGTGTTGCTATGTGTTTGTTGGGCCGGGTGAGAGGTGTGTGTGTTGTGAGAGAGGAGGGGCAGACATGGTGACTGTGTTTGTGGCGCTGGGCGTGTGTGTAGGTGGTGGCAAGGGTGTGTGTGGGGTGGGGTGACTGTGTGTGTGTGTGAGGGTGTGTGAGGGTGTGGCATGTTCAAAAGTGTGTGTTTATGTCCCGTAGGCACGCAGTAGCAGTCTGTGCAAAATAGGAGAATGTCAATAGGAGCTAAAGTGACGCTGATGTCATGGCTATTTTTCCAATATGTGCTTATATGTTTGTCTGTGTGGGTGTGTGTGTGTGTGTGTGTGTGTGTGTGTGTGTGTGTGTGTGTGTGTGTGTGTGTGTGTGTGTGTGTGTGTGTTTCATACTTGCCAACCTTTAGACCTCAGAAATCGGGAGCATT